GAATTTAACTCTAGCAGATAATCATCTCGGGCAAGGTAATTGTCTAAGGATACTTGACGCTCAGCCGGCAAGTGTCCTCCGCCGAGGTTAAGGAACTCCCTGCTCTCTCGCAACTCAACTCAACTCAACTCAATTCGATTCAACTCTTTGTGTATCCTCCCGATCCTTTGTCCTTTGTCCTCTGGCCTTGCGTGTCCTTCGGCTCCTCTTCCTGCCAGTTGGCTGCAATGAACCGAGCAGATCCAATCTGACGTAATTAAATGCAACTATCTGCCATCGATGGAGGCGCAGCTAGCAGGATCCCTAATATCCTTTCTGCGATTGCGTGCCACAATTAAATGGCATTTGGAGTTTCCAGAATACGAGCTCAATTATTTACATACAGTAGAGATGGGGTCTATACGATGCATCATTTAAGAGGAGTTTGGCAATAATCTTTAAAGGCTCATTAAATGTATAAATAATTAGATTCAAAAAATTATAATAAGGGTTATAATCAGAGTTTTTTATTATCAGACTATAGTAGACCATAGTTATCATTTAAAGGCTATTTCTTAAATTTATGAAATACCTTTTATTAAACATAATTTAGACAGCAAAACCAACATATTTCCAATGTTTTTTTAGCACTACCAACAAAATTCGCCCCTAGTCTCCATTTTTTTTAGTTTCATTGAACTGGGCCTCACTGTACTTGCACTTTCTCAGCCGAAACCCACCAAGTGCGACTGACAGGAGTGGGAACTCAACCCTTTCGGAACTTCCGCTCAAACGCACGCAGTCCAAAATGATAGGTTCGTCAATTGGAGACGCAGTCGAAATTAAATATTACCATTCAAAGAGTTGTTAACGAACTTATTAGGAGCATGGGGAGAGTCGGATAAGTATATGTATATTAATATATAATGGCTAGGAACTAGTATATATATTCCCGTTGAAGTGCCCCAGTGAGATAGGTACTCTTCTAGTACATTTAATAATTGCCTTATGAGTGGGGAGTGGGGGCGAAGGGGTTGGAAAAGGGGGCGGTTTGGGCCAGAGAGGGGTGTGGCTACGGTTCGGGCTATGTCATGTGGCTGGGCCAACCGGCTAATTGAGCAATTAGTGGCTAAAAAGGCAACAATTGAGGCCATTTGCTGGGAAACCTGCGGGGAATTCGTAATGACTGCAAATGAATGGGAAAAGCCTTTTCGAGCGCACCTAAAAGGTCGAGAAGTTTTGCTTAAAACCCCGGTAGTGGTATTAATTCATTTCAGTAACCTTAAACCTTCACATTAATTAAAACTCCTTAAATAGAATTGGCTTTATTTAAACTCCGAATTTTAAAGAAGTGACATACCGAAGGTAATGAGCCTAAAAATCAATTCCAGGTTGAAATGGCAACCTTACATTTTTTGAATCGACTACCAAAATTTGAAGCACAGCAACAAGAATAACTGTTTTGAGCAAACGGAAGCTCAAGTTGATTTTTTCCAGATTTTTTGCCAAAGAAAACATTTCCTAGAAAACATATTTTAGAGGTTTTTTTGGCTCTAACTTCCCCAAAATACGACGCTTAGTACAAAAAATAACTGTTTTGCGCAACTGAGGACCCAAATAACCGATTCCAGGTCGTTTTCTGAAAAAAATTTTTTTTACCGATTTTCCAATTTTTTTTAAGGGGGTACATCATTATTTTTTGCCAAAATGGGTCAAAAATAAAATTTTTTAGCTGTGAATGCCAATCGATTGGAAATTTTATAACGAATTCAACGAGGTATGACATTCCAATATTTGACCAATATTTCCCAAGGTTTTGATCAAAAAACATAAAATAAAGTCGATTCTTTCGGAATTGCAGTGGTCAAAATATGAGGCAAAGTCACATGAAAAACTGTTTTGAGCCGTTAAGTGTAGAAAATGTATTGATATCTAGATATTTTTAGATGGCATAACAGTTCATTTGCCAAGTTATGATAACAGGAGGGGCACGCGACCCCATCTCGTTTTCACCGTGAAAAATAGAAACCGCAGGATAACAAATGCAATTTGCTCAAATGTTTATTGCAGCCACAACAACACAGCACAACATTTGTAATCAGAGGTCACAAAAAGTGAATGGACGAGGGAATGAGAGCGTCGAAACCGCGTCGACAGTTAATGAGATTAAAACACCCAGCGGGAATCCTTGGCTTGGTCGGTTATCCTGGCGCAGCAGGATACTGCCGAATTGCGCAGTGCCCGAGCAAATTGAGAAGTCAAAGTCGGGAGTGTGGGGATTCCTTGTTCCCTCTTCCCGAGGAAATGTCAAAGGAACCCGGAGGGAACTAGGGAATGCAAGGAATCCGAGAGGAGAGCACGGCATAAATCACTGCCATAAATTAGTTGGCTTTTAATTACGATTATTATGCTGATAATAGCGCGCATTTAACGCGCGATAAACATAAATAATCGTGTCAAATGCAAACAGATGTCGAAAGAAGATGACAACGGAGATGCTCCAAACAACTTCAACAACTCCAAATCACGTAGTCTCCATTCAGGCGACGACTAAAGATTGAAATTATATATCTTAAGGATCTCAACTTCTTATATGCCCTGTAATATTTGTTTATTAATTTATTTAAAGCCCATAGCTTACATTTAATACAGGTTTTCTCAAAAATAAATGATAGGCAGTTTAAAGCTTAGTGTATTAATTCTGTACTAAGTAATATAAATAAAAATAACATAATAATATACTTTATAGTTTGATTTTCGGTTTAGATGTTTTCTTTCTGGGAGGCTCTTAAAATAAAAAAAACAGTCTTTAATAAACAAGTAACATTCGTTTCGATGTTAAACCCAAGTTCATAAAATCTAATGCTCAGATTATGTTTTATTAAATGATGTTCTTTTTAAATCCAAACTTAACTAAAACTCACATTATATTATATGTCTGTAATAAATTTGAGTTAACCCATTTTATAAGAAGAATCTAGCCCATTTAATCGATTTATTTACAGGGTATTAAAATATTTTCTGTGCGCGCTCCATTTTTTTGCTTAATGAAAACAATGTGTGAACAAGATTTGTGAACGGGGGCCGGCGGGGGCGTGGCGACCATTAAAAGATTCTTGGGATGCCTTTGGCATCTCGGCGTTGACAATTTTTGGTGGGAGGGGGTTTTCGGGACTGGGGATTGGAGATTGGGGCCTGGGAATGGGAATGGGAATGGGAGTGGTGGAACTGATGAGTATCTCGTTTCTGGCGCCTAACTCCGCTCAAATGTGTGAAAATCATATTTTAATTAAAGTTTGCTGCTAATGATTTTGTCAGCGCCACAGTGTCGCTCGTTTATCATCGTTTCTTTGCCTCTGCCCCACTCAACTGCAGATCTACCTTGCCTTTTCTGATTTATTCAGTTTTATTCTCGGCTCCTTACCCACTATATATGTATAAAGTATATTTACAGCCAGCCCATGTCCTTTGCAAGCCGATGCCAAACGCATGTCCTGTCCTTTGTTTTATGTCGTTAGCTATCTCTTTTTTCACATCCCCCACTCCCCTCACCCATCTTTTGCAAGAAGTGTGTTTGTATTTTTCATTATTTTAATTTACAACTTGCTCTGGCGCTCTTTTGAAATCCGAATCCTGCAGTGGGAGAAAGTGGGGGAGAAAGGAGCCCAGCGGGATGCGGCTACCATGTGACAGACAATACCCAGAAAACAGAAGTCAACGATTTCAGGGAGAGAGTTGCCTCATTTAATTTTACCGCACTTGAGAGTCCTTCGAGGAACACACACTTTAAGTTGCGTTTGATTTATGCCATGGAAAATTCGGTAAATAAATCTACAAACCTTTTTGTCAGTTTCGAAACATAATTATAACACTTTTGAAGCTGCTAAATATATTGTACCCAAGTTTTTATACATTTTGAATACAAATAATTCGAAAAACTATGTAAAGTCCTGTATAAATAAATATATAAACCTATCGCTAAATTCGGGAAATAAATCTACAAACCTTTTTGTCAGTTTCGAAACATAATTATAACACTTTTGGAGCTGCTAATATGTTGTACCCAAGTTTTTATACATTTTGAATTCAAATAATTTGAAAATATAATATTAATAATATAACAATATTAATAACTCTTTTTTTTAATTATAATAAATAGATTATTTATTAGATTTAAAATGCATTTAAGTCTGATGGGTATTTTATAATGGTTCTTTAATGTTTTGGAAATTAAAAATTAAAACAACATTTCCCATTTATTTTGTGAGGGCATTATAGTTAATTTTATTTTGAAACCTATCTCTAAATGCATTTCAAGGGCAGAATCGTTTATGTTCAATCCAGTATCATTCCGATATTAAGTCTTTATGGCTCTCTAAACGCTTTAAGTGAGCAGCCAGGACTTTCCATTAATTCTCCCTAATGTAGAGCCCTCATCGCGGCATTTGCCATCTCGTCCAGAGATCCTTATTCATTTGAATCTTGAATTCATTGCCCTGGCAAATTGTTTTTGCCCCCCGGGCGACCACACCCCCACCGAGGATGTCAAAACACCAGCGGGAAAAATAACTGCGCAGCTTAATCCACTCCAAGGGGATGGTACGAATACGATGGAAACAATCTGCACCCACTTGACGGGCAATCTGTTCCGGGGATTGCGAGGGTGCTTGGTCCACGGTAATAAAATTTAAATCACCCACACACATCAGGACATCAGGGGTCGAGTACGACCTTTTAACCATCCACCCCCCCCTCCCCACATCCTTTTTTCGACCGAGATTGAGAGCGTTAAAAGTCGTTAACGACCAGATGAATTGGCATGAGATTTGGAGTACAGGAAGTCCAGCAGCAGCATCCCCAAATAAAATCCGGGTAAACCACCCTCAATCAGATAAACATATTTTACGCTTATTTGCAGATACAAAGATTGATTTACCAAATTGATTTAGACCCCTCCCCCCCCTGTTTTCTCCACATATCCATATCGCACACCCCCCCACCCTTTAAATGAATCGGAATCGAGCGTTTTGTTGTACATTTATTTTGAATGAAATTTAAATAGTTTATTCGTATTTTAAATAATTAATTTACATAGACAAAAAAAAGTAATCGAAGATGATAAATTGCTGATGCGGCCTACGTTTCGGAGGACTGGCCAAAGTCCTTGTTGCATCCGTGCTGTGTGTGTGTGTGTGTGCGTGTGTGTGTGTGTGAATGTGTGTGTGCTAAGTATCTAAGTATCTGCTCTAAGCCTAAGTTCAAATAAAACAACAAAACACATTTAGTTTAGGTTTAGCTTGGGTTTTAGTTGGGTCGATTAAAGCACTAGCGTCTAAGATATCCTCGATTGTATTGATCGTCGATCCGTTCGTCAGATTGGGTTAGCAAAAATAATTGAGGGACATATGCTAATTTACAAGGGCTAGAGTGTAAAACCCCCCCTGCTCGTTTTTTTTTTTTTACAATTTTGGTTCGCTCACACTTCATAATTGGACTAGAAATATATTTATGATGTTCCCCCGCTCATTATCCATATATATATATATTATATTTTTATATATTTAGGTGTCTTCGTTTAGAATTGCATAATTGTTTTCTTTTATTTTTTATTTTTTTTTTTGTGGGTGCTCGAAGCTTGTCTCTTGGTTAATATCGTATATATGCTTAGGACCTACGAAAAAAAATTACATATCCATAGGGCTAGTAAAAAAAATCAAAAAAAAAAAATCCTCTCTCTCTGTCAAAGGGGACAACTAGATATTCTAGAAATGGCTTAGGCTACAATAGGCTATAAGCAATATTTATATATATATATATATATATATATTTAGTTTAGTGCTGGGATTAGCGCGATAGACACATAGAGCGGGCTTTTTTCTTTTTTCTTTTCCTTTTCTCGTTTTGTTTGAATATGTACAGACATCTGCTGGCTATATGTACAACCGCAAGATAGCTTTTGAATCGAAAATGATATCGTTATTTATATATATATGGTGTGCAGGTGTGGAACCCATTCGCTGTCGCTTTAGTTGGTGAACAGGAAGGGTCCCAGCGATCCTCAAACCATGGGTGGCTTGATGTCGACCAGGGAGCTGGGATCCAGACCGGGCGAACCACCGGTGGCCAGGTGGTGCGAGTGGTGGGCATGGTGGTGCAGGTGGTGGGCATGGGGATGCTGTTGCTGCCCGAATTGCTGATGGTGCTGCTGCTGGTGGTGTTGCTGTTGTTGATGGTGTTGCTGATGTTGCTGCTGAAGGTGTTGCTGTTGCTGCTGCTGTTGCTGATGCTGCTGCTGCTGCTGTTGCTGATGCTGCTGCTGCTGGTGAAGCATCACCGGCGAACCGCCCGCGGCGACCATCTGGTGCGGCGTGGCCAGGTGCAGACCGCCGCCCAGCAGGCTGCTGGACGTGCCATTGGCGCTGTGCGCGTGCAGCGAGGTCGGGGTGCCGGGATGGCTGCCCGAACCGGAACCGGACACGGAACCGCTCGAGCCACCGGAATTGGAATTGGAATTGGAGCTGCCGGAGGAGGAGCCACCGCCGCCGCCTCCACCTCCTGCACCCGCACCAGCTCCCACTCCCGATCCCGTTCCGGTGGCCCCCGATCCCGAGCCGGTGCCAGAGATGCCAACATTATTATTGTTGCCACCATTACTGGCGCCACCCCCGCCGCCACCGACCCCGCCCGTCTGTGGGCCACTGCCCACGCCGCCCAGCCCGTTGGACTCGCCCGACTGGTTGGCGGCCTCCTCCGAGTCGCTACACGACTCCGAGGAGCCCTTCTTCAGCCCATTGGCCTGATGGCCATTGGCCGTGCCATTGTGCGTCTTCACGTGCTTGGCCAGGTGGTCGCTGCGCATAAAGCGCTTGTTGCACACGGGGCAAGCAAAGCGCTTCTCGCCGGTGTGCGTCCTCAAGTGCCGTTGCAGCTCGTCGGAGCGTGTGAAACGCTTGCCGCAGAACAGCCAGTTGCACACGAAGGGACGCTCGCCGGTGTGCCACCGCAGGTGAGCCTTCAGATGCGATGTCTTCCCGTACACCTTGCCGCATCCGGGTATGTGACACGAATGGATGTTCTTCTTGCGCAAATGGACGCCGGCGGGACCCAGGCGCTCTGCCTCCTGACAATTGGGGCAATCGCAGGTGGCCCTGCCCGCATACCGTCGCTGTGATCTCGGTGACGGTGTGGACGGTGAGCCACCCTGGGGTGACCCACCGGCGGCCGCCGCAGCCGTTGCAGCCGCCGCCGCCGCCGCCGATGGTGAACTATGGGGCAGTGAGAAGCCGCCCATGCCCACGCCCACGCCCACACCAACGCCCACGCCCACACCCTGACCCGGCAGCATGCTCTTGTAGGTGTCCTGCAGCAGATGCTGGCCAGATCCCAGCAGCGAGTGACTCAAGGCCGAGCTGTAGTTCTCGCTGGCATAGTTGGCCATCGTGGAGTGCATGCCGGCACCACCCATGTCCAGCCAGGAGCCGGCGGCACTGTGCATGTCCCACCAGCCGGAGTTCACGCTGGCCGCCTCCTTGTGGGTGACCGCATTGAAGGGCCAGTCGTAGGGGTGACGTGAATAGACGCCTCCAAAGGCGGCCGCACCGGCCTCCACCTTGCCGAGGAGACCCTGGTGCATGTGATGGTTGTCCATGTTGGAGGACGAGGCGTTGGGGAAGTAGAGGTCCCCGCCGTACGCCGCCGCCACCGCCGAGGCCGAGGAGGCGGACTGGGAGCCGGAGGCGCCGGAGGAGGAGGAGGAGCCGGACGAGCCCCCGCCCACCGCCGCGCAGGAGGAGGCCAGGGGGCGACTGTAAGGATAGATGCTGAAATTACTCGCGAGTCGTATAGGGCCAGCTGCTGCGGCTGTCCGCGCACAGCGATCCCCGAGGACTCCAAGGATCTGGGGGTCTCTCAAGGACAACAGCTCATCTAGTATATATTTTATACACAATTTAGCCCATCTTCACTATATATTCTCCTTGGAATATTATTTCCCTGACAATCAATGACTTATCTAGCTTTTATATTCCTGATATTTTAATACTTTCTTGTCTCCTAGATTATTTAACTATTAGATTATTTTAAGTAGCCAAAAATCATGTTTTTTTAACTATTACAAGTACTTGAGTCTACTATCAACCCAATGATTATTAACAGCTTGAATGTCCATTACTTATTTGTAATATTTGTTTTTTCTATAGTAACTCTTTGTTAAAAAAATATTAACCTAATTTACCAGTCCAAAATGATTAGTTCTTGAGTTCGAAAATTATGTTTTTATTTTATTTGATATCTTAAAAAACCTTTTCAGTTAGCAAAAATTACCGAAGTTTAACTTGAATATCTAGTAAAAGTAGTTCCATTAGCTGCCTGCAAAATACCCCCTTTCAAATCCTAATTGTCCTTCATCCCACCACTTTATCCTGGAGAATCCTCGGAGGAGCGCTGTGCGCCGCCTGTCTGCTTACCTAGCTGTGATGTTCACCATGGTGCTGGCGCTGGAGGAGAGGCTCCTGGAGGACTGTCCTCCGCTGGAGCCGCTGGAGCTCGACGAGCTGGCCGCTGAGATGGCGCAGGGCGAGTGCTGGCCACCGCCTCCTCCGCCGCCGCCTCCTCCTCCGCCGGAGGAGCCACTGGATCCCGCTGCCGGGGAGTTGGGACTCTTCTTCCACGGATGGAAGCCCTTGCCCACGGCGGCGTCGGCCAGCGGGGGCGGGGATTTGTTGGAGAGCTTGTTGCACTGGGCGGCCAACATGGCCAGCGGAGTTCCTCTCAAACTGGGATGGTCCTGCAAGGATAAAAGGAACGGGGAAGCTTCATTAAAAGGGTGCAACAAATTCCAAGAATCAATTTTAGGAGTCATAAAGGTATTTTCAAAAACTAATTCAAACCTTAAACAAACTCCCTTGCTATTTAACTTAATAAAGAAATTTTAGAATATCAAATAATATTAAATAGTACTTATTTATGTCCTTTACAAAGTAGAAAACAATTAAGGTTTAGTATATCGCCATATCAATTTCATATAATTTTATTCAGCAAATCCAAAAGCCAATGTCTTTTTTCTTTAGCAGTTTGTTCTTTAAAAGATAATACTTTATAAATAAATTATAATCAAGATATGCACTTCATTTGACTCATCCTTTTAGGTTTCTAGTAAATATTTCCCATGGGAATGCTTGCATTTCTTAATTAACTGCCGTTCGCGCGAATTTGCAAATTACTTAAATGTGAATTAGTCGAGCTCAATTTCGCTTCCTGTCTGATTTTGCTTTGTTTTTTTTCTGGCCAACGGTTTCTAATGTCTGTTGAAAGAGGGCAAAAGGGCGGGCAGAGGGCCAAAAAGCGAACAGCAACCCACAAAATTAATTCGCCACGTAAATCAAAACTGAAATTCCCTTTTGGCGCTGCGAATGAGCCGCGTTTTTACGGTCTCTGGCATTTTGGGGATACACTTTGGGCTGAAAAGAGTTAAGTGGACTACGAGGAGATTTAAAAAACATAACATTAAATGAAAAAAGAATTTTTGAAAATGTTTGTAATGTGATGATATTCATATTCCTTTCAAAAATCTTAAAAGGTTCTAGCTTCATTCTTTTTGATAAACTTTATTATACATTTTAGGATCAACAACTAATTTCTGTGTGAAAATATTCATTTTTTAATTTTACAGATTTGTTTCTATACTTTCTATACCAGAGTATAACACATTCGACTCTTTACAGTTCCACTTTTCCCACAGACATTTATAATCGAGAACGTCGTTTGGGAGGAAGTCATTAAAAGTCGGCTGAGTTTGGGTATTCCTTATTGTCCCGACCTTGGCCAAAACTAATTTTCAATTCCGCTTTTTGTCTAGCGGCGACTGCGGCACTTGTTTTCAGCCCTTTTTCTCACTCGAAATTGCTGCCCGATTGACGAAGGTCGAGGATTTCTCTAGAGGGCCCGGCAAAAGGATTCTCCAATCTGTGGTCTCTGATCCTCGTCAAACACATTTCATGCCTGCCAGCTGCTTGAGTTGCCGCAGCCAAACAACTTGGTATAAACAACCAAGAGTCACGGCAATAACAACAACAACAACAACGCCAGAATTGTCAACAACAAGTTGAACAACTTTGGCAATACGGTAAAAGTTGTTCAATCAAGCCCCGATATACACTGATCCAAAAGTAATCTGCCATCAATCGATTACCGGGGAAATGAGTCAATTCAAATTTCCCTCGTTCGCTAATTGGAGGTTGTTCTTTGGCCAACACTTGTATATTATTTGCTTTTATCTGTCTGTTTTTATTGAAAGACTCAAGCAAGACACGTTTGACCGACAAATATTTTTTTGGAGTGAGAAAAATATATATTAAAGTTGTTTATATGAAAATCAACCTATGTAAACTGAAATAATTTGTCATAAATTTATGAAATAAAATATTTGGATGGATAATTTGTTTACCAAAATTTAAATACTAATGGCTGTTTAGTTCATATTTATTATAAATGCTCAAGATTATTTTTTAAGACATTTATAAACATTCTAATAAAAACTTTTTGAGCTAATAATATTATGTTCTCCTTATAAAATTAAGACTATTACTTATTTCACACTGTGAGTTCAAGTTAAAAGTTATATTTGGTTTTTAATTTCTCAGAAATATTTATAAAAATCTACTTAAATTAGTAAAGGATTTTGTTTTTTTTTTCACTGAAAACATTTTCCTATTTCATATGTATTTTTTCCTGTAATTATTTGTCTGAGTGCATTGTGGCCATTGCCCAGTAGTCGTGGCCTCGTCGAGTTGTCCAAAAAAATTAAGTTAATAGTTTACTGACTGCACTCGAGTCGGTCGATTTACAGTTGCCTAGTTTCGAGCTTTTACCGTTTCGATGGCGATTTTGGGAGGGGGTGGTGGTGCAGTGGTGGTGCAGCGGTGGTTCAGTGGTGCAGCGGCAATGTGGATTGCTGTGGCAACCCGCAATCAGCCTGAGATCGGGATCAGAGAGCCTCCGCGGAAGCTGCTATTTCGGCCAGTAATTGGCCACTCCACAAATTGAGAGGGAGGCGGCTGGGGAATCCCCCTTTGCAACCGCCCACCTTTCTATATATGTATATACCATATATATATATTGCCGTTTCCGTACTTTCTGTGCATCTCGACTGTGGCACGTTTATGTCGCTGCCGCTTTTTCAATTGCAAGTCTGCTCATCTCCAGCGTCGGACAGGTGCTTTGGCAGCCTAATGACATCACCCATTCAAATCGTGAGGTCCCTGGATCTGGGATATCTGGATAGCCACCGAACTACTTTGGCCCCTCGGACCGAAAACCCCAAACGGAACGAAACGAAGCCGAAAAAAGCACACACTTAATTGGAGCAATTTCAACGTCGTGCAACTGCGCGTATGAGTAATGGCTGGTGTGCCAGAGTGTGTGTGTATGTGTGTGTGTGTTGGACAAATTATACAAAATGATATCGGGGCAGGCAAGTCAGTCAGTTAGTTAGTCAGTTGGTCAGCCAGTCAGTCAGGGGAGTCTGGGGCAAATTAAAATGCAACTCGATTTGATTAATCGATCAGACTTTTGATTGCTGCGGTTTAAAGTGGCTTCAAAGTAAATAAAGGTCGGAATATGATCTCTATTTTGATTTTCTATTTCCTTATTAATAACTGATGCATTAAATTTGCAAACAAATTAAGATGTAAGAAACATCATTAATTGAAATCTTCATTTGATTTCTTTCTCTGCTTATCTTAACCTGATTTCGTAACTGATATACAACTTCCCCTCTACCTTTTTCCCTTTTTTTATTAGCCACCTTAGGAGGTCTTGCAGTTGGCCTGATTAAAACAGTCGGATGTCATTTTCCGAAGGTGGAAACAGAATCGGGAATCTCGGAGCGACGAATAAACGAGGAAAGGGGATATCTTCAAAAGGCGCGAGCTAAACAAATTTGGTCAACACAGCAGGTAATGTCCCCAGGGGGGGTTGAGTTGAGAAGAAGAGGGGGGGAGGGGTGGTCATATATACCAGTGACCAATTCCCAAGTTCCCATCTCGGATTCGGATTCCCCGCTCGAATTCACAGCGGGTGCTATCAGCAAATGGCGCTGCAGGTTCCTCACCTTTTATCTACCTCAGCTCCCGTCTCCCGTCTCTTTTCCATCCGCTATACCCCTCTCATTCACACACATGCTACCCATCTCTTTCAGTTCCTTTTGCCGAGCGGCAACAAGTTGGGCACATCAATCGGAGGCGGTGTCATAATTTTCACAGCAGGTGTCGTCGCTAATGATTTACAATGAGCCGGAGAAAAACGGAGGGAATCGGAGAATCAGAGAAAGAGACAGTAACAGTAACAGAGAATTAGAGAGAGATGCACGCTGTTGCATCGCCGTGTCGGCAAACAACAATAAAAATGTGAAAAATCTAAATTCGTTGTGGTCGACGTCGCTCTCCGTTTGAAGTCGATTCCGAAGACCAATTCATTATTCATCAGTTTGCATTGTATAGGCCATATACACATATATACACAGGTTTATAGGGTCCGATTCCGATTCCTCATGGGTGGGGCGTTGCAGTGGCTAATTTGCCGCTGGGATAGATGGGTTTTCGAACCGAAGAAGGTACGGCGACTGGCGCCAAGTGGCGCCCCCTAGGGTGCGAGAGTGCCAAACAAATTGTTAACTATTGTGATCCGATTCGATTTGGAATCGGCGGATCAAGGCGTGGCTATATCTGTCCCCGATCCGCAATCCGTAATTGTTGATCAAGTTCGAGTGGAAAGTAAAGAGATTGCTTCTATTTCTATGATTAATACTTTAGTCTATATTCTATTACAATCTATTGGTTTCAGCTGTAGTCTTACAGGTTACTTTTCTAACTCGCCTTTAACAATGGATCCAAAAAAGTCAGTAGCAAACAATTAAAACGAAACACTAAAAGAGCGTTCCTTTTTTTAAGTGGTGTGGTATAATAAAAAGCTGTTTATTGGCTCTTTGAAAATAAACTCCGAAATGATTGAACACAATGCAAATAGAGCACTAACTAGAAATAATGTGTCTCCACTAAAAATAGTAATAAACGAAAAACTTTAAGTCACAAGCCATAAATCAAGAGTACCCATAAAATTTTAAAAATTATTCCACACTTTTCTAAGACACCCAATACGAGAAGGCAATGTTAGTATTTTCCAATTATCGCTGCCACTTACACTCCTTATGAGTTTTCCACCCATAAAAGAGGCCCCTAAAAATCAGCTATTGATGCCGACAATTATCGCCATCCATCAACGGGAATCAATCTCAGCTAATCCGGCGGGTACGGCTAATCCCAAAACTTTGTGGCACAGTGTGTGAAAGGCAACAAAAAGCGGATCCTCATCAGCGGACAACCATTCCAGCCTCCATCGACAAAAAAAAAACCATTCGAAAAAGATATTTAACTGCAGCTCAAAGTCGAAAACTCCGGCGCCAAAATGCAAATAAAACAACAAATGAAAAAGAGAACATAAAACGGCTGAGCGAATATAAAAGCAAACTTTAAATTGCTGCAGAAGTCTGCAGAAGTGAGGAGGGAGCTACCGAATACGCTGGAGAATCACTGGTGAATCGGCGGAGAATCGTTTGGAGAATCCGCGAGGAGCAACAGCCACGAAGCAGATACAATTTTCATAGGCAATTAAAAAAAGTTCATTGGTTTTGATTTTATTTTCGGCTGCAGCTCCTTCGCCATTCAGAAGCCACAAAGCGTAGGGCTCGAGGCACTCGACTTCTCGACTTCTTGACTACCAAAAGGATGA